TTTGCCACTATGTCTGGCGTATGTGGACTATGAGAAAGCCTTTGATTCCGTCGAAATTTGGGCGGTGCTGCAGTCCCTTCAGCGATGCCAAGTTGACTGTCGGTATATCGAAGTGTTGAAGTGCTTGTACAGTAGGGCTACGATGGCTATCCGAGTACAGAACCAGAGTACGAAACCTATCCAATTGCAGAGAGGTGTAAGACAGGGTGACGTCATATCCCCGAAACTCTTCACCGCTGCGTTGGAAGACGTTTTCAAGCTTCTGGACTGGAAAGGATACGGTATCTACATCAATGGCGAGTACATCACTCACCTTCGATTTGCCGACGATATAGTCCTTATGGCAGAATCGCTGGAGGACCTAAGCACTATGCTCAATGACCTCAATAGTGTTTCCCAACGGATAGGTCTTAAGATGAACATGGACAAAACAAAGATCATGTTTAATGTCCATGTCACACCTATGCCGGTAGTTGTTGGGAACACTAAGCTCGAAGTTGTTGACGAGTATGTTTACCTGGGACAAATAGTCCGACTAGGTAAGTCCAACTTCGACCGAGAGGTCAATCGACGGATTCAACTCGGTTGGGCAGCGTTCGGGAAATTACGGCACATCTTCTCGTCAGGTATACCTCAAAACTTGAAAACGAGACTGTACACCCAGTGCGTGTTGCCAGTGATGACATACGGAACTGAGACGTGGTCCATCACTGCTGGCCGGATGAGGAAGCTCAAGGTCGCTCAGCGAGCTATGGAGAGGGCTATGCTCGGAGTTTCTCTGCGTGATAAACTCAGAAATGAGGATATCCGCAGTAGAACCAGAGTGACCGACATAGCCCAACGGATTAGTAAGCTGAAGTGGCAATGGGCCGGCCATATAGCTCGAAGAACCGACAACCGATGGGGAAGAAAGGTTCTCGAGTGGCAGCCTCGTACCGGCAGCCGAAGTGTAGGGCGTCCCCCCACTAGATGGAGTGACGACCTGGTAAGATGTGCAGGAAGTCGATGGATGCAGGTGGCTCAGGACCGTGCTTTGTGGCATTCTTTGGGGGAGGCCTATGTTCAGCAGTGGACTTGTGAAGGGCTGTAATGATGATGATGATGACGTATGGAAGGCCTTCAGCTGTACGTCTTTTTGCTAGATTATTTTTCCATGTAGCTGGATCTTGTCGACTCCATCGAGCACGTGGTTTTATAACTTTCCAAGTTAGTTTAAATATATTTTCCGTTATTGCTTGGACCACATAGTGGGATTCATTATTATTAGGAAGTTGTTTTGGTTTGCCAAACAATAAGGCTATGGCTTTACTTCGCATTTCTTTTATATTATTTTTTTTTAGTTAAATATCTGTCTGGATTTAACAACTCATACAGTTGTATAAATTGTGAATGTTCAGATTCAGGTGTAGTAGGGCGATCTAGATCAGAAGGTAAATACGACGGGTCCCTATCTGAAAAGTCACCACCAAAGAGAGATTCATTTTCGCTTTCTTCAATTCGTTCCTGACTTTCCATAGTTAGTTTTGATGAAATGTCAACTGTAATTGAAAGAAAAAAAAATATTAAGTTAATTCTACAAAAGATATGTATAGGATGTTAAATTTAAATTTCAAAGAGCATGGTTAGCCACTAGGTACTCTGCTCACATACACATTCATAGACATTTAAAACAGAAGTAAAACAGAATAATTAATTAATATTATGGCGTCACTATTATTTTTCATCGAGCGGCCTGAAGAACATAGTATCGTAAAATTAGCCTTCTCAAGAGAACTTCAATACAAACTTATAAAAAATAACTTGTTATGAACTTCTCTTGAAAGCACAAGAACCAAAGAAGACTTACCAGATTCTGACTCTCCAGCATAATTGCCAACAGGACCTATCTGATTCATTTTAGTACAATCACTATCTTTCTTTCTTTTCTTTTCGACCTGACTCGAGCAAGCAGCATCTGTAAACAGATAACACAATTAGTCGGGAGGCAGCTCGAGAGTTTTAAGTTTGTAATTGTATTTATAGGTTTTTAAATGTAATAACTTCTATAGTTTAGCTATAATAACTTATTTTGTGACAGACAATAATTTCATCATATTTGGCTGATCTGATCATCATCGTACATAGCTAAGAACTATCTCCCTTAAACCAGCTTCCTATTAAAAAAGCACAACCAAATCGGTCCACCCGTTTGGGAGCTACGATGCCACAGACAGACACAAACACAGGCAGATGGACATACACACACACACAGACAGACAGATACACAGACAGACGGACAGATGGCGTCGAATTTACATGTAAAACCCCACTTTTGCGTCGGGGGTTAAAAAGAATAGGCATATTATATGTACGGTCCGTTCTTGTGGGATACTGGGATCCACACACATCACACACCTGTCTGTTTGTCTGTTACGAGAAGGACATAGGCTACTTTTTATCTTGGTAATTCCTCGGGTTCGAGACTTGTAAAACCGCGTTGCACAGCTAGTTATAATTAAAGTGACTGTAAGTTAAGTACCTACCTTCTGTTGTCGTAGAAATTGGCAAATCACACATCAACCCTGTCGGCTTCGACTGACTTAAATACATGTCATACGCTTGCGATAGTAAGTCATCATTACACCAAAAATCATCTGTGAAATATAGTAAACTCGTTAGATATTTCGACAGAACAATACTTTACACAATTTTGTTAGTAAAACCTGTTAAGTACCGGCTTTTATAACCTAAAGATTTAAATTATGTTACTTACCTTGGTTTTGTATGGAATTTTCAAATATCTTCTCTTTGTCACATTTAGAGACACTCATTTTATAAAATTTCGCTATTATAACGAATAATACTTTGCTGTTTTTATTCTATTAGCACGAAACAATCAAACGCTCGACAGTCCGCGCACGATTAAGAACCGCGTATAAAGAGCGCACGTTGTAAATTGCGTGCGCAAGAGACGGCTATACATGGATAGTCGGTTTTAGCCGAAGCTAATTCAGACACTGTCTCGCATGTACCTAGTGAAAGAAAAGAGTAAACACAGATAATTGATAGTAGCTGAAGATATTCGGAAACTGTCGTAGCCCAATTATACAGTAAAAGTAAACTATAGTTATCTAAGTTTTTTTACCTGCAATAACTTTAACCAAATATGGTGTTAATTTTTCGGCAAAAAGCTACTAACGGTTTTTAGTTTGTTTTACTGGTAGATACATCAGCTATTTCTAATATATTAATAAAAGCTGAAAGCAGTTACCGCAGGTTAATATTTACTAGCAGAATAATATCGACATAATAACAACTGAAGCTACTACGTCTGAAAAGTGTTATAATACGGAACATGGTTTTTGTGGTATACATTTAAAATTTTTAAGTATTTAAATGAGTTTAGTTATTTTTTTAAGAAGATAATTAAATCATACTTGAAGGTATTTGCTTTTAACTTTAGCTATCCCCATAAAAAGGCGTCGTAGGAGACAATGGGTTTTACCTGTAGCTTTGTCGTGACTGGAAGAGTCGATTGATATATTTAACTTAATTTTGGTACAAAAATGCAGATGATCGGTTTTTGCAATAAGGGTACGGTTTGATCTCAGCGCTAGCAGTGCTGCTTGACTATCAGAGTTAATATAGATTATATCGTTATAGTAGTGTTTTTGCAGATCGATTTCCGCTCACTGAAGTATGGCGAAAATTTCTGCCTGGAAGATAGAGGCAAATCTACCCAAATTTATACTATGTTTGAATTTAGGGCGTTTCCCATTAATTCTAAAGGCTACGTTGAGGCCAATTTTGACCCATCGGTATACCATAAAAAGCTACCGACCTCACAGATGGCCTGTCCATTCAGCATGTCTTCTCTGGTATATAGTTGCACTGTATACTTTTAGTTAAAAATATATAGTGGACGCATCATATCTGAGATCATGCATAAGACTGGTGTTTGCTAGATTGAGCTCTTGCATGGATTTCAATCTATAGGAACGCAAGTTCATACTGCCTTGAGTGTTAATGTTATACAAACTATCCTTCAACTCCTTGTCTAAGTAAAGATCAAGGGGCGTTAGGACCAGAAGTGCATAATAAAAGAAGTATATAATATTATATTAGTAATTAATGGCCTCACTCCGTTCAGAATACTTTATTTTATTTTACTTAATTAGTATATTTCAAATAATTTTTTAAGACCAATAAATAGATAAAATTATAATTTAAAATTAAAAATTTTGTACAGCCGACTTCAATATAAGTTATTTAAGAATAACTTAAAAACTATTGGTCTGACCTTGATCAAATTCATATGGGACCACACGAGAAGTACCAGCTTTCAAATAAAAAAAGAATCATCGAAATCGGTTCACCCAGAAAAAAGTTCTGAGGTAACACACATAAAAAAAAAAAAACGAAAAAAAAAAAACATACAGTCGAATTGAGTACCGGCTCCTTTTTGGAAGTCGGCAGAAAAAATCATAAAACTGTACGTCTTCAAACTGTTTAAATGTCCACAATGTTTATTATTTTCTCTATATACATATAAATAGATAGAATAGTTTTATCAAATGCTCTGGTAATTAAGGACGGCTTTCATATCAATGTTGAAAATCTCTGTAGAAATCCCGAGTCAGGATCGGTAGTTGGGGGTGCTTGCCCCCGTGTCTCCTAAAATATATAAGCTGTTTTTCTGCACCTGATTTATCTCCGGATGTGTCAAATAAAAATGGGACGGCATTGAAATATCAAAGTGAGGGTAGAGACTGCAATTGTGCACTCTTGGACTATTACCCTGTCCTGCGCAGATGGATACTGATATTCACACTGGAAGACAGAATCAATACAGAAAATATGCCTAATTACTAAAACCTCCTTTTAAAAGATGGTGAAAACTGCAAAATATATCAAATAGGTTTGAAGTTTTCAGCAAATATATAGATAGCCAGAGATAAACAAGTCATTTACGTCAATATCCTATACAATAATGTAAATTTTGTGTTTTTATTTCTTTTCAGATACAGAGTATGTCCGAATGCCGCCAATTTATCATCTTGATCCATACGAGCTATGTATATATAAACCTAAAGGATTATATTGTTCTGTGGAGATTGATTTAGTACCAGATGAAAGCACAGATGAAGGCAATGAATTAATGGAAATGATAAGAGTACGTTAATTTAGTGATATATAATTATAAAAATCATAAAATTCTCTTAGTTGACTACGATAACATCTTCACTGACTGCTAGACTACGCATTTGCACAAGAAATGGTGACCTCTCCCTCACCTTGTTTCTGATGTGGTTGTAGTTTGTTTGAGTGTGATTACAGATTTGCGGCTACAGTTGTGTGGTATTAGGCGTATTACATTAGGTCCATATCAATTGACAGTGATTTACGGCATTTACGGCAGGCCACGTACTATTTTATAGGATCCTGCAGAACTCGGCTACTAGAAACACGTGGCCTGGCGCTGCTCAATAACCTGAGAAGAGACCTTTTTCTTTCATACAACTGTGTTTTGTTTTTTATAATCACTATTTTTGTTTCTTTGTTTCTCTATTTGTATTTTAAATTACGTTTGCGCCCTCCCATACAGGTGTTTTTATTACCTTTCTACTCATGTAAGGTGTCGTTGGATAGGTCCTTCAAAAATATGAAACAATTATTTTCCGTTCAGGGGTCAGTTCATTATTTCGCATATTTAGCTTAAAAGTGGTATTTTTTTAGAGTCATGTGTAAACCAAGGCATGTGCATATTATAATATAATGAAGTTAAAAGGAAAACTATCACAGCTAAGTAGACTTAAAATGCTAACGAGTAACAGTCGACTATCTTATAAAATGCACAAAGATTATTAAAAATTTCCTTACAGTTTCCTAGGAAATTACCGAAAATTAGCTGCATTATAACTTTGTAATGATAATTTAAACAGTGAAAAACATATAATATTTTTTGAAAAAATCGACTTATCCATTATTAATTTACGTTTTCTTTTGCGGGGTTTCATTTTTAGTTAGAAGTTACCGTAGTCCTACAGTTTCATTTGTGGTACTCTTGGTTTACGCAGGCACCTCTCAGGATAGTTTAGGGCTGTAGATGTTTTGCAGGAAGAGTCGTTTCGGTCATGTATGTCGTCGAAATTGCACTGCCAAGAACTAATAGATGGGTAGGGAACTGTGAACATTTTTATACGGTCGTGAATGATACGTGAATACCTGAATGATTTGATGAAGATTGTATTATTTTCAAAACCGAAAAGTTTTTTTTAGAACTTTTTTATATATTACTCCCTATAAGCCTGCTTGAAAAATAATTACTTCAGTTATCATCGTCCTGTTGGGGCGCATTTTTAGTCGTTATAGCGGTCAAAACCAGAACTCAATATCGTCATAGTAATAAGGAGGTCCCTAGTAAGTTCACGTATTGTGACGGGCAATTATGGAACCCTACCTCTACATTGTGCATGGCCTGACACGCACGTGGCTATTTTTTTATCGAATATGTGTAACAAACGAGCCACAGTCCGTCTGATGGGTTTTGGTTGCTGTCACCCATCGATATCTATATCTATCCTCGATTAAGGGTCATAATGCAGAAACGTTGTCATTTCTGAGAACTAAGATGGAATGCCTCATCCATACAAAACACAGCAGCATTAAGCTGCTATTTTACGCTGGTATTCTGTGAGAGCGTGGTCCTTCCACGGTCAGGCCGACCCATTCGTCCTACAATTTTTCATATAGTTGCAGCATGGCAACTTAAAACTATTTTATTTTTTATTTTTGTAAGCGAAGAAGAATTTATTATATTATATAATCTAAGTATAGCCATTCAGCGGGGATACGCAGCCAGCGTTCTTGGCACGATACCGCGGGGAGTACTACTATATGATAATTAAGTTTCTAGTTTTAGTTTTTTTTTTATTATCATAGTTTTTAATTTTGTAGATAAAATTAAATACAAAAAAAAATAAGAAGGCCAATTCGGTATTACATTTAATAATCTCTCTGTTGTAGTTTACACCTGACACACCAAGAGAAGAAGTTATATTGGTATTCTTCTAACTGTAATTTAGGATGAATTTACTTTAGGAAAACTTTATTTTAGGAAAAATATAACATTTGTCTTATTCTAATCTATGTTATTGCCAAGTTTCATTAAAATCCATTCAGTGGTTTTTGCGTGGTAGAGTCACAAACATACAAACATCCAAACAAACTATCACATATATAAAATTTGTAGAAAGTAGGATTTGTAGAATTAGTAGGATTTTCTACTTTCAATTATACCACCCTATTAATGGTTTAATTTTTTTACAGGAATATACAGCACGTTCAGAAACGCATTACAATCACACGCGACTGCATTATGGTATTTGTGTCACGGATATGTGTAACGAGTACCTGACGCAAAACACAACAGGGAGCCTGAAACTGGTACTTGAAAGATGCCTAAATAGTTCATTTTGGGAAAAATACAAATTAAAAACAAGGATTAACGAGGATTTAAGCTGTAACAATCAAGATCAAACTTTTGAGTTGGAACCTGGTGATATTGTTGTGGCTGTGATAGTTTTAGGTTTAGTTGTACTCAACATTAGTGGAATCATTTACGATTTCTTTACTCTCAAGAGGAAGAATCGCGAAGGTAACTTTTATTTTGATTCTTAACAGATCACATTCTTCCTCCTACATTTCGAATATTATTAGATAGCTGCTAGATTAGTTAAGTCCATTTGTATCGAGCTTAGCAAAAATGACGCAAAAAAATAAATTATCTCTTTTCTGCCGACTTCCAAAAAGGAGACGGTACTCAATTCTACTGTTGTTTTTTTTGTTTCTTTATGTGTGTTACCTCATAACTTTTTACTGGGTGAACCGATTTCGATGATTCTTTTTTATATGAAAGCTGATACTTCTCGTGCGACCACCATATAAATTTGATCAAGGTCAGATCAATAAGGATAGGATAACCATGTCGCCCGTGTCATGTAAACACTGCTCTCTGTATTAAAATAAAAATTTAATGTTTATTTCGCGAAATATACAAAAAGTTTTGTTTATATCGTTAAAAAAAAGTGAAATCTTATTGTGATAATATTATTCAAGTGTTTTGTGATAAAGAACTAGATTAGTTTAAAAATAATAAGTAATACCGTGACTTTAGTTTAAGAATCTTAATGCAGTGTAATAGTTATCAACATACTTTTACTACTTGGACAATAGCGTAAAAATCTCATCATTCTAAGAACATATAAAGTGAGTGATAAGAATATTTTATGGGATTTCATAAATTAAAACAAACGTTCGTTTAAATTCAAATGCATATTGAACTTTGATCCTTTGAGAAGTTGTAGATCTTATTTTACGCACGACCTTAACATAGTTCCTGATATCATCTACGAGATGGCGCTAAACTGTGAAAACTGTGGCAAGGACATTATTGAAAAGCATTTTCTAACTTGCGTAATATGTAGAAAATATTATCATTTAGATTGCACTAGGGTCTCTTATCAACGTTTTGTTTTAATGTCGCATGACAGAAAGAAAAATTATAAATGCCACACATGCCTTTCACCTTCATGTAATAAACAAACATCCCCAACATCCGCCATCATTTTGCCAGAGCATAAAGACTATGTTACCCAACGTAATAAATATAAATTAAACGTCCATACGGCTAACTCCTTCCAAGAACTCTCTGATGAAGAAACAGAAGGTGACTACTCTTCTCTGACTTCAACCCCAATTAATACATTAAATAGAAGCTATACAGAAATACAACGAAATACACATTTTAAAATTAATGAATTAAAAGAGAAAACCCACAAGCTAGAAGAAAAACTGGAAATAGCGGAAAATGAAATTGAAAATTTGCTATCAGAAAATCAAATGCTAAGCAAACGAATTTCCGAATATGAAATAAAAATTAAACAGTTAACTTATATATGCAAATCTACGACGAAAAGAACTGTTAAGAAAAAGAGAGAAAAAAGTTTGACAAAAATGAAATTAGATTTTTCTCAAATAGAAGAAAATATAAAACTCCACGAAAACCATTCCACTAAACATATTAGAACATCTGTGCCAACTACCTCAGAAACAAATAATTTTAATCAAACATTCGTGAAACACCGATAGATGGCAGTAACATACACAAGCAAAATAAAAACAGATTTATTTACATTATTGGAGATGAGCAACTAAAGGGACTGTCAGCTTCACTTATAAGTACCAGGTATGGTAAGTGGAATGATGTCTTTATTCCCACGGCTTCAATCTTATCCGGAGGTACTAGTACAGATATATTAAATTACTGTGACTTATTCATCGAAAAATTGACAGATAATGACATTGTCATTTTAGGTATAGGCAATAATGACAAAGACATATATAAATTACATTCCAACATTTGTATAGCTTTAAGCAAATTAAGTAAAGTTTCCGTTTTTTTAACTCCTATATGCCATAATCCTTATTTTGATAAAAACACATTAAATTTTAATCTAAAATTATGGACGAAACATTTTGACAATTGTAAAATGATCAATATGAATGACGAATATTTGAATGCATTTAATTTTATAAAAAACATTTGTAATAAAATTAATTTATGCATCGATTATATAGAATATAAAAAACAATTTTTAACTGTTGAAAATATTAAGAAATTTTTAAAAAGATTACCTACTATAATCAATGAAACAAAAACAAAAGAAAATAAATACTCAAAATTGCTTAGAAAAGGCACTATACCTTATTATTTTCATCTTATGTCCCAAAAACAAACAAAGAAAAATTTTAATCAATATAATAATATCCTAACTAATAACCATGTACCTAAAAAAGGCACAATATCTTTTTATTTTAGTAACATTACCAAAAAACAAAAAGTAAATACTCGAGATAACAACGAAAGCATTCAACATACGCTGAATTCTTTTCAAAGTAACAAGGACATGTTTTTTCCAAACAAATAACAAGTACTTTACAATTTTTCACCAGAATATACATGAATTACTCTCCAAAATAGAACTAATAGAAATGACCCTTTTGGAGATAAAAAACCATATTAATCCCGACGTACTATGTTTTACCGAAACATTTGTGAAATCAGGTGAAGAAAAAAATATACTCATAAATAATTATGAGTTAGCTACATCATTTTCAAGATCATCTAAAAGAGGGGGTAGTTGTATATTAGTAAAAAAAGGTCTTGAATTTAAGAAAATAGAGTACTTCGATACACTTGCTATGACTTACCACTTTGAGTGTTGTGCAATAAACCTTATTAATAATAATTTAATAATTGTTTGCATATATAGAATTCCGTCAAAAATTAAAAGTCATTTAGAATATTTTTTTGATAAATTTGTCTTACTTATTAGTAAATATATATTAAAACATTCAAAAAAGAAGATAATTATTACTGGAGACATAAATATTAATATACTTGAACCCAGTCAATACACCAGGTGTCTTAAGGATATTGTGATGAAATATAACTTTCACTTTGATATAAAACAACCAACTAGAGGCAAATCGTGTCTTGATCTTATTATAAGTAACATTGACGAAGCAATTGGATCTGTGCGTTCATTATGGCTGTCAGATCACGATACTGCACAGGTATTAAAGTTTACTGCGAAAAGTAACAAGAATATCACACCAAAATCAATATATACATATATTCGACACTATTCTGGAGAAAATATAGACAGATTTAAAAAATATTTAAAATGCATTTCATTTTGTAAAGTTTATACTCAGACTGATTTAAATACAGCGTTTGAAGAATTTTTTAGCCTTTTCACATTACTCTATAAACTATGTTTTCCTAAAATAAAAGTAAAAACCAAAACATTTACTAAACTAACATGGATATCCAAAGGCTTAAAAAAAAGTTGTAGAACTAAACGTAAACTTCGATACAAGTTTTATATGACTAGAAAAATTGTTGATCGAATTAAATATATAAATTACGATAGACTATTAAAAAATGTATAAACATTGCAAAAAGAACAACAAACAATAAATTTGTATTGAATAGTAAAAATATATGTAAAGCTACTTGGACAATTATAAAAAATGAGACTAATCGTGTATATACTAAAAATTACATAAATAAAATAATGAATAATGGAAAGGCGGTAACGGAACCTGCTGAAATAGCATCTATTATAAATAATTATTTTATTAATGCAACAAATCAAATAAATTATAAAATAGAAAATACAACTGACATGAAATTACTCCAATCAATTTTTCTGACTCCTATAAATGAGAATATTATCAAAAAAATCATAATGTCTTTAAACAACACAAAATCTGAAGGCTATGATTCCATATGTACTAAAATAATTAAATCGTGTAAGGATGAAATAAGTGAAATATTAGCATTCCTGATAAATCTTTCACTAGAGTCAGGGACTTTTCCTGATAAATTAAAACTTTCAATAGTAAAACCTTTATACAAAAAGGGAGATAAAAGTGATATATCCAACTATCGACCAATTGCACTAGTCCCAGTCCTCTCAAAAGTATTTGAAAAGGTGATGCATTACCAACTTACTTCCTTTTTTAGTAAATTTAAGGTGATAAAACAAAATCAGCATGGTTTCCAAAAAAATAAATCCACAACACATGCTGCCTTTACATTACTGAAGGATGTCTTGCAAAATTTAAATAAAAAAAACTATACAACTGTAGTATTTCTTGACATGTCGAAAGCCTTCGATCGCGTCTCACATGATCAGTTACTTATCAAACTAGAGGCTAACGGTATAAGGGGACCTGCATTAAGTTGGCTAGAAAGCTATTTAAAAAATAGGTCACAGTGTGTAGAAATAACACAATTAAATTCTAAGAACATAGCTCAGGTATATAGATCGGAATTCAACAACAACAATTTCGGCGTTCCCCAAGGCAGTATACTCGGACCATTGTTGTTTATATTATACATAAATGATTTACCTGATATCTCCAACTACAAAACTACTTTATTTGCAGATGACATCTCGGTGACGATTACGACTAGTAAAAAAAGTACACTTGACCAACACAAAAGGGACATAGTTAAAACAATTAATTCAATAAATAAATGGCTCAATAAAAATAATCTACACATTAATTTAAGTAAAACAAATATTATTAATTTTAATAACTTAAATTCTGACATAAATATTGAATATAATGGACAACTTCTGCGGAACGCTATTAGTACGACATTTCTAGGTTTAATTATAGACTCAAATCTAAATTGGAAAGAACATATCCATAAAGTGAGTAATAAAATTAACAGATTTGTATACGCGTTACATAAATTGACAAAAATAGCAAACAAAAACACTGCGATCACAGCGTATTTTGCATATGTAGAATCTGTTATTAGATACGGACTCTTAATGTGGGGTAATGGCACAGACTGTCAAAAAGTATTTTTAGCTCAAAAGCGCTGTATTAGAGCTATAAGTAACATCCCATCAGACACATCATGCAAGCCTTATTTTAAGAGTTTAAACATACTTCCTTTTCCCTGCCTCTATATATTTGAGGTTGGCAAATTTGTAAAGCAAAACAAGCACATGTTTTTACAAGCTAAAGATGTTACAAAAATTAACTTACGGAACCCAGATAAACTAGTACTTG